ATGGAGAAAGGACAGGATGGGGGACAGAAAAACAGGGAGAGTGAAAGGAGAGTCATGGCAGGGGGAGAGAAAGAGGCGAGAGGAAGACAGAAAGGGGGAGAGACAGAGAGATAAACAGGATTTAGTTCTTCATCCCAGAGCCTGGAAGGCTTGTTTTAAAAGAAAAGCTAGAACAGGCCTACCCAGCGCATTAACTAATTGCAGGGTAGTGAAAAAGAGAAAATTAAATGATGAAAACTAACTGCCATCATAAACTCATTTTGCCCTGCTTTCTTCAGCACAAAACAAGTGCTGGGAGAGGCCCGTCAAGTACTTACAACAGCAGAATAGAGAAAATAATGTAATGGTCACAATACCCTTTAGATAACTTGTCTGCTAATCCATTCATTAAAGCCACACTATTGAAACATGTGACAGTACAATAGATCCTCAACATGTGTTTATGTGTAATAACTTAAAAGACTATGTAATTTTAGTCAAACAATCACGTATTAATGACCTTACAGCACTTAGGTTTTGGTAATGACAGTGCTTTAAAAATCACAATCATGAAATAAAAATGATCACAAACTAAACAGCCAGATCTCACACTTAACATAGCAATAGGAAACTCAAATTCACATTGGCTTTTTTGGGAGTGGACTGTTCCACCTTCAAAAACAGGGGGGTGAGCCACATAGTATCTGGATGATACAGTACAATATTTTTTAAGGAAATGTCTGAGAAGAGCTACAGTCACATCAGAGAGAGTCCTGGTTATAAATAAATAATAATTACATATTACAAAAAGATGATGCATTTGACTGTAAATATTTTCTCAAAAGACAGTAGTTAGTAAATTCCCTGTTCTAACTCATTTTAACCCCTGTTTTACAAAATTACTTGTCTGTTAAAAAAGTGGCTTTGGCAAAGTTTTGCATGGGAAATTGTTAATTTGTATGGCCAGACATTAATCCAGTCACTGATCCTGCAGCTCCTAGATTGACCACCAGATGGCAGTGTTCCTACCTTGGCTGAATCGGACTCCTTCATGACCATGTAGGGCTCACAGCACTCCCCAATATCTCCCTGTTGGAGCACCTTCTCTAGCTAAGAACACAGCAACACAAAGATATAGCAAAGGTTACAAATGGGCTCCTCACTTGTTTGGGTAGACAAGCCCCTTTACAGTCAATCAAAATTTAAAGTGATACAAAAGCAAACTGAATTGAATTACACTCTAAGGGATGCACTATAATCTTTATAAAGTACTCAAGGAAGTTTTAACATACAGAAGGTTTTTAGACCCTATTCAAAGCCAAAAACTACTATTTCTTTTCCTGTGTCAACAAAAACAGGAATTGCTATGGTAACTGTACCACTGTCGCACAGATCCTTAGATCACAAAAAACACCCAATAAAAGTACCCTTGCTCAGGAAAAACATAGCATGTTACTCAAAATCTACTATTAATTTCAAAACCCTCCCTCTACGGAATTCCCTGCAGCCATTCTGCATGAGGGGTAAATGATGCAAATTCAACCCAAGCATGAGCTATTGCCTCCTTGTCTGCCCTCTCCACCCCTGTGCCCCCTGCAGCTCCACCTTGATGACGAGGAAGATGTCGGGCGAGGGGTAGGTGATGGAGAAGATGGCAGAGCGCGTCAGCGTGGAGATGGCTACGTGGGGAGTGTGGGGCCGCAGCATGCTCTTCATCTGGTCCGAGTTCAGGTCGAAGTAGAAATTCTCCGAGATCTGGGGTAAGAGGCAGACGTTACAAACAACATGAGGCCAACTGCCATGCAAGGATCTTAGCCAGGTATTCCTCGGAGAGTCCCACAGCCCGCTTCAGCAAGGCTTCTGGCTAGTTTGCCTTACTCTTACCCCTTCACGTTCCCACATCACAGGACTTAGAATCGCACACAAATACAACCCGACTCTTTCTGTCACTAGAAACTCTACTGTCATTCAAACTGGGTTGGTGTTGGTGAGTCAAGAACGACTGAAGGAGTGAGAGTTCATATACAGTACCACTCCTCCTGTATCACAACTATCAGGTTGTTTCAACTATTTGAACAAAAATGTCCTGAATTAGACAAGGACCAACCAGCAAAATACAGAATCAATTTTGTTTCATCTCTTCAGTTACAGACAGGGATGTTGGGGAACCTGACAAGCATTTGAAAATCCTCTAAGGCCACTGAGAGAGTAAAACAAGGGACAGAGTTAGTGAAACTAGGGACATGAGAGGAATCTAACAGGAGTTAGTGCATTTAGGGTTAAACAACAAGAGGCAATTCAGACCAAGGACTGTAGAGGTCTGGAAAAAAATGTGCAGCTCTGTTATGAAGCTGATTCTGGAATTAGGAAATGGCTGGGTGAGATCCTAGGATCAATTAATTTCCAGAAGCCAAACAAACATGACAGGATCAACACCCTCCTCTCGTTTGTGATCCTCTTAAGTTATAGAAGGTGAACCACTTGTTGTGTTGATGAAATCAGAACAAACGCCTGCTGCTCCTAGTCAGATTGAAGAGTCAGGTCCATCAGTAATGACCCCAGAAAAAGCACAACCCAGGCAATAACTGAATGAGGGCTTGAGGCAGCGTTGCCCGTTTGGAAAACTGCCAAGTCACCTTTTTCTTTTCCTTCACGTCATACAGGGCCAGAACCCCAAAGATTGGCTCAATCTCGATTTCAAACCTGAAAATAAACAAGCAAACATCATCAGCATTACTACTGAAATTCCTAATCATCCTTTTCCAACAGATGGAGTCAAGCTTCATCTTCTAATGCTGTGGAAATACGAAAGTAACCCAGGACTAGCCCTCCTCCAGAAGTTCCACATGGCCTTTCTCAAAGCTCCACATCTAGCCAAGTCTGACAGGCGCTGGCACTAGAGATGAATGGGAGCAGCACTGTCAAGGGGGTGATATCTGAATGGACAACTGTACTATTTTTATTATTGAGAAAGACCCTTCGAGTATCCAAAGCTGCCGATACAGAAGTGAAGGGTTCTCAGATTCCATCTCCAGGGAATTTAACTACAATCTACAGTTATATTGCTACCATTAAAATTAAAGCAAACAGAAGTGTGTACAATTTGTATTCTGGAACTCACACAAGGTATAAATGGCCAAAAATGTGACAGAACTTGGGAACTTCTAGGAATGAATTCTCTGTTCTCACAGCATCGGGGTTTCATCCACAAAATCTCCAACAACAAACAGCGAGCTCACCTTACTCCCTTCACTTTCCTTTCTGCACGGCCCAGAAAGGACTTTTGTCTAACTTCCTGCAGCAAACCAGTTTCATATCACTGGAGGGATCTAGGGTGTTTCTTGATTGCATGTGGTGCAACTCCACTGACTGAGAACCTGGCAGTGGGCCACACTCTTAAAATACTTACACTGGCTTCCCCCTCTTCACACAACATCCTTGTGTGTCGCACCAAGTATTGGTCACAATGTTATTCCAAAAACACCAGCAGGCTGTTTAAACATTTATTTCTGTTGCAAAAACAAGTCCTATTTTAAAAAGTAGCCAGATCAGCCCATAGGTAAATGTTTGAGACAACAGATGTGTTCTATGTATGCTCGTTCCCAGTGTCCTCTCAAGCACTCACTTCAGGGACAAGCACTTGACCATGATCCTCTGTCCAAAGTGCTCCTTGGGGACTTCCGGAATGGTGCAGCGTTCCACGGCCTCGTCCTGTCAATACAACGCAAGAGACTGTCAGACTGCCGAGCCACGGAGCACAGCCATCACACAGATCAACCCTGTTCACACAGATGAATGAATGGCTGGCCTGTTGTGTCCATGAGCGTGGGGTCACACATGGACAGATTAGATGGACTGCAGGCTGTGAAAGGCATGCGGTGCTGGGCAGCACTGACCTCGTCAGGAGCAGGGAAGAGCCCTAGCAGGTCGGGGTGCCGGCCTTCCCTCCTCTTCTCTGCATTCCGGTTGTCTATCTCCTCGGGGGCGTTGCGCTCCAGCAGGGAGGGCAGCAGGCAGTCCGGTGCCGAGTTCTTCAGGTCAAAGATACTAGAGGCCCAGCTGCCCCGCGGAGTGTCATCCAGAGACACCGAGCGGCGCTTGAGATCCTCCTGATGAACACGTGTAGACAGGAGGAAAGCGGGCAGGGTGGCGCACACACACAGGGGCAGACGCACATAACAGGAGAGATGGGAGGACAACTGGATTAGTGTGTAGACACACCAGCAAGAACGAGAGTTTTCAGATGTTAGCACGTTTAACTGGCGTGTAGAATGAAAGTGGCATGTAGAAGTCAAGTCCTCACACAGTGGATCGCTCTATAGAGAAGTGATGTTTCAGAGCGTGTCCTCCTC